GGGCTGTCGTGGCCTAGAGGTTAAGGTTTTCGCCTCATATTCATTTGGTCCCGGGTTCGAATCCGGGTAAGGACAGAAATATTTCTTCTCTAAAATTGTCTCGTTTCACATCCTTTCCTGCTCTCTAACAATGTTCTGTTGTCTGCTTTGGTCTCCTTTTTCTGCCCTACCCCCTCACCTTCTTTGCCACCTCCTCGGGGCTCTTGACTCTTTCTGCAGCCTTTCTAATGCTTCTCCACGGCTCCTTCTTACTGTTGTCATTCAGCCACACCCCTGATCTTATGGTATGTCAGATCTACACCTAGCCTTCTCGGACAAGGGCGAAATTTCTCGGAGGTCCCTTGTGCAAATTGTACTAGTTAGAGATCCCTTGGAGGTCCAAAATCGATAAGAGTACGCTTCGGCCGCCATCCGGGTAACTTTCAAAATTTCCTACCAACTGAAAATGTTTGGTGTGTCCGGTGCGCTCTTATGACCTTATGCAGTTACCAGAGGGAAAAATCCTAACTCAGTGGAAAGGTGGGAGGGGGGCATAATTTCTCAAAGTCAATATGTATATATACCAATCATTGACTTCAATGGAAAAAAAGCCACAGTACATGAGTTGGATTGAGCGAATATTTACTACAGCCTTGGTTATTTATTTATTTATTTAAAAAAAAAATATTTCTCTTTTGTTGTCTCTAATAGAAACGATCTCTTCAAGTTCATTGTGGAGTCTGGAGCGAAGCCACCCAGTTTTGTTGGTCAGTCTAGCCTATCATGTATGCAAAGAAACACAGAAGACGGACTGTATCTGCAAAGAGACATCCTATCGCTGTTTCCTCAAAATGACGAATTCCTTCCACCATCTACTAACGTGGTGCACGCACAAGAATCCTCACAGGGTTTTCCCGGAATCCCCGGGAATTCCCCTTCTACCGTGCACTATGTATGGTGCGCGAAACGATATTTCCGATTCGAGGACTACCTCGGCGTTCTAAGCGCTCTTCGTGTCTTAGAACCCGGGAAGCTGGTGTTTCACTATAACAGTCTGCCTAAAGTAGATGGCATGTACTACAATACGTGGTTCTGGGAGCTGAAACAATCGACACATAACCTTGAACTTCGAAAGACCAACAGACGACTGGAGTGTGGCACATCTGACTCCCTCATTTTCGGATTAGAACAAATAACAAAATCGGAGGGCGGCGGGGTTTATCTCGGAGAAAAAACTATAATCACCCACATCCCTCAAGAGTGGAAAACGAGAGATTTCTTTTCGTTCTTCCCGGATGATGAGAAATATTTCACCACGGGACAAGGGATATTTTTTGCGAAGCGGAAATTCCCGATAGACGATTTGGCGAACTTCACGGCATCCATCTTGAGCGTCACGAAACCATGCGTAACCACAGACGCTTTTGACGCAGAACACCTGAGCTTTGATCCGACCGTACGTGCGAGTGTCCAAAGTTCCTCTGAGTGCATCATTCTCACAAGCCGAATCTATCCCAAGGACATTATGGAGTCACCCTTAGCAAGCCACAGCATGGCCAGATGGTTGTACTACGGGACTGGCGACAAGACTGTTGCAGCACCAGGTTATTATCATCATCAAAATATAGCTTTTGCTTCCTCCTCCCACACATCACCATCATCATCATCATCATTAACAAACTACAATTATTACAAATTCAACAACACTATGATCATCATCAACAAAAATATTAACAACAACAACAAAAACAATAACAACACAACAAAAACAACAACAAGAACAAGAACAACAACAGGAACAAGAACAACAAAAAACAACAATAACAACAATAACAATAACAGCAGCAACAACAACAACATCCAAATCATCACCACCAACAAACAACAGCAATAATAGAAACAAACGTATTTAAAAACAACAACATGATAACGAACACTAATTGTCTCTGTTCTCAACATCTTTCCTATCGTCCTCGAATAACCAACAAGCTGTAGGCTTACCATCAACAACTCCCATTCCTCAGACCCAGAGGACGAGCCACTGATCCCTATGATCGCCCACATGTTCTGTTTACGAAACGACGGGGAAGACAGGACCACCATCGCGTTTCCTTTCAACGCCTACCTGGGAGTGCTCTCGGGTAATGTTCCATCTTGTGTTAAAAACCTAGATTGCTGCTGTCGAAATTGTCTTAAACGGTTTCCCTTTGTGGAAGATAGAAGTGTTCCACCCAGACAGGTTGACGTACAACAAAGTTCCACTACAGTTAAATAAAAAGGAACCAGCAAATGACAATGAATAAGATAAGCCAGGAGGAAAATGGGGCGTGGCCGTTTGTGCAGGTCATTTTCTTATACTGGTGGTCGCCCCAATCGGGACATAATTGTAAGATCATTTAGGAAGCAGACCGCTTTGACACTTCCAGAAAGAGGCAAAAAACTCTTGAAAAAGAACGGAGATATTCGATAGAATTTTCTCTTCTTTTCGGGATAGAATTCAAGTCTTGAGTGTGCAACATCTTGTCTTTGTGTATCTTCATTTTTTTCCAATTTTGGGGGGGTATGTTTTACGCCTCCACGGATACATATTTGATCAACTTGGAGATGGTTGCCCCCGCTGTGAGCGTAAGGGCCAACCCGGACAATGTGGAATACAGCATCCCAAAAGACAGAAGGAGACACTCAATTTAATTTTTTTTTAAACCCCAAAACAAACAAACCAACAAAAATACACCAAAAAATCCCATCTCCCTACATGGGATTCAATCTCATACTGTTTGTGTTCAGTCATCAATCGAAGTGATCTAAAACTTGGAACATTTTAATGCTATCGGTTCACTATTGTTTCACGGCCTCTATGGTGTAGCGGATGGGATATTTGCAGTTGCACTCTGGAGATCCGAGTTCGATTCCCAAAAGGGGAAAATTTTTATGAGGTATCTCGGTCTTTCTGCTGGGATTTTATACCCCTGTCAGTTTGGGATGGCCATGGCATGCAGTGTAAGAAGCGGGCCTTCTAAATGATGTAATTTATGTCAATGGGGAGCGTAAAACACAATACAATGTATATTTTTACGAAAGTTCTTCAACAAAATTATATCGATAAGATTGCAAAATATTTATAGCAGTCACTAAAGTTAACATTCAAGCATTATCGTATTGCCTCCTAATGATCCCCAGCTCTGTATGTGGCTGGGTTTGAGCACCTCTACATTCACGGGAACATACGACCAGAGGGGCCGTGGTGGGACAAACTGAAGGGGGAAAACATCACATTTGTACCGGTAAGTGAGAGAGAGAGAGAGAGAGAGAAGTAGAGAGAGATAGAGAGAGATAGAGAGAGAGAGAGAGAGAGAAAGAGAGAGATATATATCAGAGATCAGAGAGAGAGAAAGAAAGAAAGAGCGAGAGAGAGAGAGAGAGATCAGAGATCAGAGAGAGAGAGAGAGAGAGAGAGAGAGAGAGAGAGAGAGAGAGAGAGAGAGAGAGAGAGAGAGAGAGAGAGCATTGTTTGGGTAAGTGGAATACAATAATCACAATAATTATTCTGGAAGTTGGAAAAAACACCCCGTTTATTGTTCGGGTAACAGGAAGAGGGCATCTCATTAAATGCTCCAGGAATTGGGAGAAAACATCATATTAATTGTACGCAAAAGTGGGGAGAAAGCATCACACTGATTGTTCAGGAAAATGGGAGAAAACAGTACACTAATTGGTAAGGTAAGTGGAAGAGGACATAATATTACATTTTCGAAAAATAGGAGAACATATCCCATTTTTGTCCCTATAGTTGGACACCAACTGTTTTTTAAATCAAAATATACCCAGTATTTGATACTTACTATTTGTCCGCCACATTAGGCGACCCAATTTTTTTGGGGGAGGGGGGTTCAAATTAAAGTAATAAACATAAATAAATAGCACTTTATAGCGCGAAGTATGTCACGGACACACAATGCAGAAAGAAGCATTGGAGAATAGTGCAACAAAAGGCAAGTTTGATGGAAAGAGAGGCAGAGGCAGACAGAGGGAAAAGATACTGGACAAGATTCCAACATGGCTGGGACCAGCAAGAACAACAGACACCATTGCTGCAACGCAAGACAGAGTGAAGAGGAGGTCCATGATCGCCCACGCCAGTCGGCAAGGCACTGGATGATGATGGCGATGTCACGAGTATTTTTTATCGTCAACAGTTGGATGTGTTCAAGACAGTTTACCAACGTCCTGTGGTAAAAGCTCAGCACAAGACAGACATAATGAGGAGTAGCACATTGCTCAAATATGGAGGCGCTTACATGGTGAGTGATTCACACCACTATAGTTGTTAGATTGTTCATTTCTGTCCCCCCTTGTTTTGTCCCTCTGTCTCTCTGTCTCTCTGTCTCTCTGACTATCTGTCTGTCTGTCTTTGTCTCTCTCTCTCTCTCTCTCTCTCTCTCTCTCTCTCTCTCTCCCTCCCTCTCTTAAGTGTGTGCGTGTGTGTATGTGTGTGTTTATGTGTGTGTGTGTGTATGTGTTTTCGGGGGCGGGGAAGGGGGGGGGGGGTTATCGAGTACCTCGCGCGGTTTTTGCACTAGGACTTTGCGTACTTCTCAGCCCGGGTTGGCCCTGACAGGCAGGATCGAAGCTATCCAACTAAATAATCTTACTGTATTGAGGGTGGCCTAAAAAACCTGCGTCAATGATATCATTTCGGTTAACACTCTAATATTGTTGCTGATGCTGTTACTGTTGTTGTTCTTGTAGCTGTTGACGCTCTTGCTGTTTTAGCTGTTGTTCTAGTATATTTGTTGCTGTTTGTGTTGTTGTTGTTGTTGTTGTTGTTGTTGTTGTTGTTGTTGTTGTTGTTGCTGTTGTTGTTCTAGTAGCTGTTGTTGTTGTTGTTGTTGTTGTTGTTGTTGTTGTTGTTGTAGGTTCCTGTATCAACAAGGAAGAGTGGCTTGCTGGCTGGCGGGTGCTCTGGTGTGGTTTGCTTCTTCTTTCCTATCAAACATCTATCGTCCTTATCTCCCCTTCTTCTTTTTAAAGTTTTGTTACTCTCTTGTATTAAGTTGTAACACCTCTAATCTTCTGGCCCTCATATGACCATATGGAGTTGCGAGCGCCTTATGTAAAACCTCTACTAAAACTAACTAAAAAAGGAAGTAATCATTTCTCTTTATTAATTTCTATATTGATGATTTGTCTCCCCCCACCCCCACAACTCAGGACTGGGATGTGGTATGGTCTAGCCCAATCCCCACGAGCCTCCGCAGGTACCAGGCTGTGGTGTCCATGGACTGGCCAGTCTACCCCGAGTGGCCTGAGTCCTTCAACCTTGGCGTGGCCCTGGCTAAACCAGGCGCACCCTTCTTACGTCATTTCACGGAGACTTTCAGGTGAGGCAAATACTTCCAGTGGAGTCAGACAGACTAGGCAGGTTCCACTTCGCGACGAGAATCCTCCCCCCCCCCCTTTCCCCCACTTGTCCCTTATCCTCTCACCACCCCAACAAACTACAACCACGAAAACGTTTTAAATACATGTCGATTGTATTGTCATTGACACCTCCTTGTCTGTACAGACCAAACGGGAAATGTAAACTGGTCCTTATTCCAAATCAGAATTCTGTATAAACTTGTAGATTGTCAAATAAACCAGCAGTCAGACCTGCATGGCTGTAGATATTCAGCTACACCAGAAACATCACGGTAAACCTTCGACTAGACCGGCACCGTTATGTCAAAGGATTCTTAGGTTTGTCATACCCCTGCAGTTTCAACGAAGAGAAAAAAATCAACTTCCTTTGCTTTCATGAACACCTTTAAAAGACAGAATGTGTTGTCACTCATGATCTCTTCCTCATCTATTTGTAGCTTTCAACAAAATACTTTCAAATGAATAATATAGAAACAGCTTTTAAACTTCATTCATCTATAAATGTCTTTATCCGCAGGTTTGTAGCGGAAGGGGCGTGGCATTTCAACGCCCTCTTGATGCCCTACCGACTGTTTGAACAGTACCCACACACAGTCCACATCGAGAGGCGACTCCAGGTTAGACCGAAGACATTTCCTTTTAAATAAATTGTAATAAACATTTAAATCACACGAAGCAAGCCGCAAAGATGTATTTTCAAGTCAACATAAATTATCTTCTTGACGAGTCGTGCTCGGGGCATGTATCACAGTGCCAGGTCTGAACAATTTTTTCTCTCTCTCTCTCTCTCTCTCTCTCTCTCTCTCTCTCTCTCTCTCTCTCTCCCTCTATCTCTCTCTCAGTCTGTCTGTCTCTCTCCCCATCATTCTTCCTTGTCTCTCTTTTTCTCATTTTTTGTCTCCTTCCTGCATCCTCTTTCCCCGCTCTCGTTCTTCTTCTCTCTTCCCTTCTCTCTCTCTCTCTCTCTCTTCCCTTCTCTCTCTCTCTCTCTCTCTCTCTCTCTCTCTCTCTCTCTCTCTTAATAATATATTATAGCTCTTTATTTCTCCCTTTCTGACTTTCATCTTAACAGCAGGACTCGTATAATCATGGTAATAGTGCTTGACTCGAAGTCAATTACAACATCATATCTCGGACCTACACAGGTAGACCGCTACTTGCAACTACCTGTCACTTTGTTTAACATACATACTCTGTTGAAAGATAAGACTGAAGTACCCTGAGTGTTCCGTTGGATATGCAAACATGTATTGTGTGGTTGCTGTTGGTCCGTTGAGGTCTCAAAGACCATAATATATGATATGTTGCAGCGCAATGGAATCGGGCGCTCGTCAATTTTTGAGCATATCCGTTGCCATTAATTTAAGACGGACATAAACGGTGTTGAGCCACGAAACAAAAAAAGAAAGGATACAATTGACAAAGTAATTGTGCAATAGTCTATTCGATTTCATTTTTTGACTAGCACCGACCTGATCTTACAACGTTGCAATACATTTTAATTTGGTAGGGCGTGGGGCATCTACACCCCCCCCCCCCAACCCAGCAAAAAAACAAAAAGAAACATAAAACAACAACAGCAACAACAGCAACAAACAAATAAAAAACACCAAAGCTGGGTAATTTTCAACGGGGTGTCCATGTGTAATGAAAAAAAGGAAAAGAAAAACGACAACAACCACAACAACCACAACAACAACAACAACAACAACAGCAAAAACAGCAAAAACAGCAACAACAACCACCAACAAAAACATAGATGAATAACTCGTTGGCACGTATCCACAGGTGATCTGCTACGACAACTTAGTCAATAATAGCAACAACAACATCAACAATAACAACAGCAACAACAACAACAACAAAAACAACAGCAACAACAACAACAACAACAACATTAACAACAACAATAACAACAACAACAACAAAAACATCAACAAGAACAACAACGACAACGACAACAACAACAACAACAACAACAACAAAAGCAACAACAACAACAATGACAACAACAACAACAATAACAACATCAGCAACACCAACAACAACAATAGCAACAACAACAACAACAACAACACCAACAGCAACAACAACACGCAGATAAATAACTCGTTGTCACCTCTATCCACCGGTGATCTGCTACAACAACAATTACAACATCAGCAACACCAACAATAACAACAAAACATCAACAATAACAGCAACAACAACAACAACAACAGCACCACCACCAACAACAACAGATAGATACAATATAAGCCATAGATCTATGCACCTATCCACAGGTGATCTGTTACAACAACATCTGTCACCCAGCCTGGCACAAGGACTACATACGACAGCTGTCTGACTCACGACCCACCGAGCCTTTTGACCCGGAAGAAATCCAAGGTAAGGAGACCCGTCATAATATGACTCGTCATAAATTATATATTATGTTAAGGCGACCTAAATCAGTTAGGAGACAGGATTTTTAAGTCTAAACTAACACTACCTAAAACGGTTCGAAGACAGGATTTTATACAAGTTGAAGTGAAGAATTTTACTGAAATCTATTCTAGTTAGAGTGAATAATTTCATTGAAATTTTCAACCCTTTCTTTAGCTCTCAACCTCTCTATTTTCCATAATTTGTGTGTGTGCGTATGTGTGTGTTTTGTTGGGTTTTTTTTTAAGGGGGAGGGGAGTGTATAGGTGTGTGAGTGTGTGTGTGTGTGTGTGTGTGTGTGTGTGTGTGTGTGCGTGCGCGCGTGTGAGTGTGTGTGTCTGTGTATGTCTATCTACTTATGTGTGTGTTTTGTTGAATGGAGGGGAGAGGGGAGTGTGTATATTTGTCTGTGTGTGTGTGTATGTGTGTGTGAGAGAGTGTGTGTGTGTGTGTGTGTGTGTGTGTGTGTGTGTGTGTGTGTGTTTGTATTTATTTGTGTCTATCTATGTATGTGTGTGCGTTTTGGTGGGGAGGGGGGGGTAGTTTTAGAAGGGTTTTTACGGCACTTACAACAAATAATTAAGTCATATAAGAGTATCAGTGCCAAAGATTAGAGGTTTAACAAAAGAAGTAACAAGCAACGAACATAAAAGAAGAGGATGGGAGATAGGGACTATAATGATATAATATGTTTGATAGGGAAAAAAGCAAACCACACCATAGCATGCGCCAAGCACCCATTTTGTGTTTATATGTGTGTTTGTGCATGCGTGTGGATGGGGGCAGGTGTATTTTTAAGATTCATTTTTGTTCTGAAGGCTGAAGAAAAAATGCCAATACTACATGATGAAAGAATGTTAATATCATTATTATTATTATTATTATTAT